GAAACAGGAAGTATAGACTAAGTACCAGACTTCAAGGAGAAGTTTAATTTAGATTTGCATATTTATAATCCTGTATATTGATAGAGTTACAGACTGTAACTCCACTGGGTGAAGGGATGGACAGACACAGCCCTGTCAATGGTTGAGATGTTTACAGATAAAAGGGAGGATTACTCCATGGAGCAGGAGAAACATTGAGAGAAAACATCACAGAAGATTTAAGAGAGTTACAGGAAGGAGGCATTGAGTTGAGCTACCAACAGAGGAAAATACTGAAGATAAATCAACTGAGATAAATACAGAAAGAACCTACCGCTGAGGCAACTGGAGATCATTGGCAACTCCCTGGGAGCACTACCCCAGAGTGACGGGTGTAGAAGTTAGTGGGAAATGGGGTGTGGTGGTGAGCAATGAAGTTGGAACGATAAATGGAAGGGGAGGTGGTAGAGAGTGCAGTAGACAAATCTTGCCCCAAATTTGCAGTAAGAATTCCATGGTAGCTACAGAGGCATGTGGAGGCACTGTGATCCATTTCTTGTGTTGTGGAGTCAGGCCGTCAGGCCACCAAGGAGGCTCCTTGACATTAACCCCAAAGCTGATGGATTCAGTTGTCTGGTAGGTAGGTTTAATTCTTGAAGGACTTAAGAGCCAAATTTCATAAAGGTTTCCCTTGACTGATATTCAAGATGATAAAATATTTGACAAAAGAGATGGCTTTGGCATTGACCAGTCAGAAAAGAAGCTATCACCTATTAGGACTACATACTGGTTATAAATAACTAGTAGTGTTTACCTGTGAATAGGAGCTCTGCTCTCATTGTTGGGTAATTAGGAATATGTCCATGGATGTCTTTCTCTGAAATACTTTGATTAATGGGACCGATTTCCAGATTGGATGAGTAGGACTTTGAGGACCCCATGAGGACCAGATCACTGAAGCTGTAACTGGAATTTTGTGCAAACTCTGCTGCTAAATTAGTTTGAAGGTCACCTTTGTTATTAAGACCCTAATAACAGAGAAGCAGACAGGAACATTGAAAAATTTTATATTTCTCCACCTAAAAACCAAGATGAATAGTTATGTGAGAAGTTGTAGAGGAACAATAAAATGAATGTAACACATTCTAAGTAAAAATTACAAGGGCAAGAAAGATTCTAGCTTCTCAGTGTTAAGAGGAAAGTTTATAGAAATTAGTGCCTACATAAAAAATTGGAAAGGCATCAAATAATGATCCAACAATGCATCTCAAGGATCTAGAAAATCAAGAACAAATCAAACTCAAAATTAGTAAGAGGGAAGAAATAAAATTAGAGAAGAAATAAACAAAATTGAAATAAAAAATGAAATAGATCAATGAAATGAAGAGCTGGTTTTTGAAAAACAAAAGAAGCAAAATTAATAAGTTATTGGCCCAAATTACAAGCAAAAGAGAGGGAGATGACCCAAACTAATCAAATCAGAGATGAAAAAGATTTAACAATGGATACCACAGAAATAAACAGAATCATCAGGAATTACTGCAAATAGCTATATGCCAACAAATTGGAAAATCTAGAAGAATGGATAGCTTTCTGGACATAAAAATTTACCAAAATTGAGTCATGAAGACATTGAAAACCTAAGTAGGTCAATAACCAAGACAGAGATTGATTCAATAATAAAGATCCTCTCAACAAAGAAAAGCCCATGATTGAATGGCTTCACTGCTGAATTCCATCAAACTTTTAAAGAAGAACAATCTCAACTCTTCTTAATCTATACAAAACAATTGAGAGGGAAGGGATCCTACAAAAATCCTTTTATGTGGCTAGCATCACCTTAAAAAAGATACAACAATGAGAACTTTAGACCAGTATACCTTATGAACAAAGATGCAAAAATCCTCCATAAAATACTAACTAACCAAATCCAATGACACATCAAAAAGATCATCCACCTGGACCAAGTAGAACTTATAGCTGGGATGCAGGGATGGTTCAACATACACAAATAAATATACACACTAACAAATTAAAGAATAATAACCATATGATTGTTTCAATATATGCAGAGAGCCGGCGCCGCGGCTCACTAGGCTAATCCTCCGCCTTGCAGCGCCGGCACCCTGGGTTCTAGTCCCCGTCGGGGCACTGGATTCTGTCCTGGTTGCCCCTCTTCCAGGCCAGCTCTCTGCTGTGGCCTGGGAGTGCAGTGGAGGATGGCCCAAGTCCTTGGGCCCTGCACCCCATGGGAGACCAGGATAATTACCTGGCTCTTGCCATCGGATCAGCGCAGTGTGCCGGCTGCAGTGCGCCGGCCGTGGCGGCCATTGGAGGGTGAACCAACGGCAAAAAGGAAGACCTTTCTCTCTGTCTCTCTCTCTCACTGTCCACTCTGCCTGTCAAAAAATCAATATATGCAGAGAAAGCATTTGATAAAAACAACACCCTTTCATGACAAAAACCTAAGCAAATTGTGAACAGAAGGAACATATCTCAACACAATCAAGGCAATATATGACAAACCCACAGCCAGCACCATATTGAATGGGGAAAGCCTGGAAGCATTTCCACTAAGGTCTGGATACAGATGCCCACTCTCACTACTACTATTTGATATAGTACTGGAATTTTTAGCCAGAGTCATTAGACAAGAAAAATAAATCAAAGGGAACACATGGAAAAGGAAGAAGTCAAATTATCCCTGTTTGCATATGACATTATCCTACAGATAGGGGAACCAAAAAACTCCACAAAGAGATTATTGGAACTTATAAGGGACTTTGCAAAGTTGCAGGATATAAAATCAATACACAAAAATCAGTAGCCTTTATATACAAAGACAATGCCACAGCTGAGAAAGAACCTGTAAGATCAGTCCCATTCACAATTGATACAAAAATTTTAAATACCTTGGAATAAATTTAACCAAGGATGTAAAAAATCTGTATGATGAAAATTACAAAACATTAAAGAAGAAGACATAAAAAAATGGAAAAATCTTTCATGTTCATGGATTGGAAGGATTAATATCATTAGAATGTCCATACTATTCAAAGCAATTTACAGATTCAGTGCAATCCTATTCAAAATACCAAGGACATTCTTCTCAAATCTATAAAAATGAACTTAAATTTCATATGGAAACATGAGAGACCCTGAATAACTAAAGCAACCTTAAACAATAAAAGCAGAGGTGGAGGCATCACAATACCAGATTTCAAGACATATTACAGGGCAGTTATAATCAACACAGCCTGGTATTGGTGCAAGAATAGACATGTGTAACAATGGAATAGATTAGAGACTCCAGAAGTTAATCCACCCATCTACAACCAAATAATCTTTGACAAAGAAGCTAGAATCACTCCCTGGAGAAAGGACAGCCTTTTCTTTCTTTTTTAAAAAAGATTTATTTATTCATTTATTTGAAAGGCAGAATTACAGAGAGAGAAAGGCAGAGGCAGAGAGAGAGAGAGAGAGAGAGAGAGAGAGAGAGAGAGAAAGAGAGAGGTAGGTCTTCTATATGCTCATTCACTCCCCAGATGGCTGCAATGGCTGGAGCTGAACCAATATGAAACCAGGAGCCAGGAGATTCTTCCAGGTCTCCCATGTGGGTGCAGGGGCCCAATGACTTGAGCCATCTTCTACTGCTTTGCCAGGCCATAGCAGAGAGCTGGATCAGAAGTGGGGCAGCCGGGACACAAACCAGTGCTCATATAGGATGCCAGCACTGCAGGTGGTGGCTCTACCCACTATGCCACAGTTCTGGCCCCAAGGACAGCCTTTTCAACAAATGGTGTTGGGAAAATTGGATCTCCACATGTGGAAGTTTGAAGCAAGCCTCCTACCTTATATCCTATACTAAAATCAACTCACAATGGATCAAGGACCTAAGACCTGTAACCATCAAATTACTAAAAGAAGACATAGGGGAAATACTGCAAGATGTTGACATAGGTGAGAATTTTTTGGGTAAGACCCCACGAACACAGGCAAAAAAGGCAAAAACAGACAAATGGCATTACATCAAGCCAAGAAGCTTCTGCACTGCAAAGGGAGCACTCAACAAAGTAAAGAGCAACTGACAGAATGGGAGAAAATATTTGCAAACTATTAAACTGATAGAGGATTAATATCCAGAATATATAAGAGCTCAAGAAACTCAACTATAACAAAATAAACAATCCAGTTAAGAAATGGGCCAAGGATATGAAAGAAGATTTTTCAAAGGCTGAAATACAGATGGCCGACAGATACATGGAAAGATGCTCAGGATAACTAACCATCAGGGAAATGCAAATAAAAACCGTAATGAGGTTTCACCTCACCCCAGTGAGAATGGCTATCATCCAAAAATCACAAAATAACAAATGGTGTGTATATGGGGACAATAGTACCTTAATTCACTGTTTGTGGGAGTGTAAACTAGTACAACTATCCATTTGAAAGATAGTGTGGCAAGTCCCAGAAATATTAAAATAGATCTACAATTTTCCAGCCATCCCACTCTTGGGAATTTAGTCAAAGGAAATGAAATCAGCATATGAGTTATTTGTACCCCCATGTTTATTGCAGCTCAATTCACAATAGCTAGTATATAGACTCAATCCAGAGTTCCATCAGCTGATGACTAGAAAAAGAAATTGTGGTTTTATATATATATATATATATATCCACACACATATATAATATATACACAAATATATTATATATAACATATAATGCATTATATATTATGTGTACACATTATACATAATATATGCATAATATATACATTATATAATATATACATATATAATATATTACATACACATATTATACATATATAATATATGTTATGTATAATATATACATATTATACAATATAATGTATACAATATACAATATATACATATATATGTATAATATATACATATATAATATATCATATATACACATAATATATTATACATATAGGCAGAGTTCCGGCGCTGCCGGAGATGCCTGACGCTTCGGCCTGAGGAGCGGTCAGTGACGCGATGGAGCGAGCAAGGGATCGCTTACACCTGAGACGGACTACAGAGCAGCACGTGCCAGAAGTGGAAGTCCAAGTTAAACGTAGGAGGACTGCTTCATTGAGCAATCAAGAGTGTCAGTTGTACCCAAGACGTTCTCAACAGCAGCAAGTACCTGTGGTGGATTTCCAGGCGGAACTAAGACAGGCATTCTTAGCCGAGACACCAAGAGGTGGTTAAAGCAGTATTGGAATATCAAGGTAGCTGACTTCTAAGCAAAAACCAGGCTCCATCTACTGTTTGTGAAGCTTCTGCCCAGCTTGCATTGTTTCTAGGAGAACCTGCCATCATACCTTTATCTATAGCCTTCCCTTAGGTCTTAAGGGTCCTGAAATTTTACTTTGGACATTGAATTTGGTGGAACAGCAATCATGACTGTGGGCAAGAGTAGCAAGATGCTACAGCACATTGACTATAGAATGAGATGTATCCTGCAAGATGGCCGAATCTTCATTGGCACCTTTAAGGCTTTTGACAAGCATATGAATTTGATCCTCTGTGATTGTGATGAGTTCAGGAAGATAAAGCCAAAGAATGCAAAACAACCAGAGCGTGAAGAAAAGCGGGTTTTGGGTCTGGTGTTGCTACGTGGAGAGAACTTGGTATCCATGACTGTTGAGGGGCCACCTCCCAAAGATACTGGAATTGCTCGGGTACCACTTGCTGGAGCTGCAGGTGGCCCTGGAGTTGGTAGGGCTGCTGGAAGAGGTGTACCAGCTGGTGTCCCAATTCCCCAAGCTCCTGCTGGATTAGCAGGCCCTGTCCGAGGAGTTGGAGGCCCATCACAGCAGGTAATGACTCCACAGGGAAGAGGCACTGTTGCAGCTGCTGCAGTTGCTGCTACTGCCAGCATTGCTGGAGCCCCAACACAGTACCCACCAGGACGAGGGACTCCACCCCCACCTGTTGGCAGAGCAACCCCACCTCCAGGAATTATGGCACCTCCACCTGGTATGAGACCACCCATGGGTCCACCAATTGGGCTCCCCCCTGCTCGAGGGACACCAATAGGCATGCCCCCTCCAGGAATGAGACCCCCTCCTCCAGGAATTAGAGGTCCACCTCCCCCAGGAATGCGCCCACCAAGACCCTAAGATACTATTGATCTGTCTCAGTCACTTTTTCCCCTCCAATGCGTCTTGTGAAATTGTGCAGAGTGTTTGTGAGCTTTTTGTCCCCTCTTTATGCATTGATAATAGCTAATAATAAATGCATAGAACAATTAACAAAAAAAAATTATACATATATAACATATTATATATGTATAATATATACATATTATATATAATATAATATTATATATACATAATATATTATACATATATAATAATATACATATATTATATATAATACATTATATATACATATATAATATATACATATATATTATATATACACATAATATATTATACATACATAATATATAATATATAATATATTATATACATATGTACACACATATAATATATATATATCCATTTATAATATATATATTATATATATAATGGAATCCTACTCAGACATAAAAAAGGATGAACTCCTGTCTTTTACAAGAAAATTCATGCAATTGGAAATCATTATGCTTAGTGAAATAAGTCAGTTGCAAAAAGACAAATATTGCTGGATTGTGGTAACTAACATATAGTGAACAAAAAATTTAACACATATAGGTGAAATTGACATTTTGGGATTTGATTACTGTTTATAGCTCTTGTTTCTATGCCTAAGGAATAATTGTTTTTCTACTTATTGAATTCTTTATTTACTGGAGGATTAAGCTTGTGGTTATAAAGTAAATTGAAAGTATGCCATTGCAAAAATTAAAAGGAAAATAAGGAAGAGGGAGGATGGAAGTGAGGGAGGGAGGGAAAGAGGGAGGGTAGGTTAGGAACATCATTATGTTCTTAAAACTGTATATATGAAATACATGAAATTTTATATAAATATAAATTATTTTATATAAATATAAATTTTATATAAATAAAAAATTGAGAGGAAGATGAAATAAGAATAAACATTTTAGCTTCTAATGGTAATTTCAGTTTGAGTTGTAAGGTTAGGAGCAAAATGGATTTTTTTACAGCAGAGTACAAATATGAGTGAGATTTCTATTTCTTGACGGGCCTCCAGAGAGTGATGTTAGTGTCAGAATTTAAGATGATGTGAGTGTGTGTCCTTGTGTGTGTTTTGTGTTTGTGCCAAGGAAGCCTTGTAGTAGGTGTGCTTTATCACTTTAGATCAAGTCTCTTCTTTATTTTATTTTGTTTACCGAGTGCACAATTTTTCATTATTCCAAGAAATATTTTTTCAAATAGAAACTTCAGCATATTATTTTTCTTTTAAGAAATGCCATACAGATAAACCTTTCAGCATAACTGGTCCTTTTAAAGAGGTTTTCATCCAGAATAGTGAAAAGTAAGTCTGTCTTGTATATCAACAGAGTAATCACAGTGATTGTTCTATTCCTTTACACTTCTCAGCGATCGCTCAGGGTGTCATGTCTGGATGTACTTTCAAGAAAATTGGGATTTAAAAGTTTGTTTTGAAAAGAAGGAAGAACAAATGAGAGTTCTATGGAATGGATACAATGCTTAATTTTTTTTTTTTTTGGTGTATAGAGTCAATAATGTTATCTTTCTTGTAAGGCAAATAAAAGCTGTATTTGTTTACTTGAAGTTAATGTCTGTTGTCACTGTTATTAGTTTTTTTTTTTTTTTTTGGGTGGAGTTCTTTCGTTTTAGCTGTGTATTGAAGTTGACCAGATAAAATATATCAGCAACAGATTCAGTTGGTGCCACCTCTTTCATAGGCTGGAAAAAAATGTTCTTATTAAGGTAGTCTAATTAAAGGAGGAAATCTCATATCTGCAGATATAATACTGCTACTTGACAATGTTTTAACTCCCCTTTCCCAGGTGACAGCAGTCTGAGGGACCAGGCTTAGACCATCAGGTGAGGGTAATGAGCACAAATACTATTGAACTTCAGCTCTTTCTAAGGCAGAACCACTGTACCCCAGCCCTCCATCCCTTTTTCACCTTCTAAGCTCTTTCTCTCTTTGATCTGGTCCTGGGTGATGCACACGTTCTCCCTGAAGACTCTCAACCACTGAAACATCTGTTGTACTGTGCTGAGGCTGCCTTTTGGTTTGAAGGGTTGGTGGTCTTAGCTGGGAGTTCACACCCACCACCATGACGACCTTGCTCTGTCTGTGTGCTGATTCCCCCTCACTCTCATTTCTCACCACTGTTACTGTTGTCTCAATGGAAAGCATCTCAAAGGCCGGGTTGGCTCTTCTGGTAGTACAACTGTGTTAACTGCTTTAGACAATCAACTCCAGGACTGGACTGAGGATGTCAAACGGCATTGCACAAGGACACAGAATGTCCCCTTTTTATTGGCAATGAACCACTGTCCGAGCAAGACGTCTGGGTGCTTGAGTGGTATCGTATTTCGAGGATAGTTTTCTTCTGCCCAAAGATACTTCTGTGAGAAATCTGGGGCAGAGTTTTAGGGACTTTCCCAACTGGCCCTCTTGGCCAGGAAACCCATACATTCCTCAGGTACAAACGCTCTCTGAGACCTGATTCTGCTCTGATGTTGCTCAGGAAATGGGGATGCAAATTAAATCCCACTTCTGAGGATCTTTTGAAGCATTTTAAAAAGGAAAATTCTTCCATAAATATGCTGACCTGATATTTCACTTAACTACCTAGAGTCTTAATTAAACCAATTTTTCAGCCATTTTCTAAAGTGATTCTCCAGGGGCGTCAATAACTCTATTTTCTGCAAATAAGATTATGGAAATTAGCTTTTATTAGAAGTCCAGTGGCATCCCTAGCCCTACCACAACCTCTTCCCACACTGACCTTTTACTTTGCGTCTCCAGAATCTGCATTAGGCCGCTCTGGCTGTACAAATTGATTCTCACCATGGCCTTCTTCAGTCAAGAGCACATACTGAGTGCTCACACGGCTGGTACCAGATAGCGTAAGAAATCATGAGTCCTGCTTCTAAAACTTTTGTAGTAAAGCTGGCAGAGGCTGGGGTGTGTTCTCCAGGACACTGCATGTTTACCTACAAGACAGAGTCCACGGACCCAGCATTTCAGGACGGTGAAGTATAGGAGAATCTCACATTGCATGAGCTTTCAAGTCCAATAGATCTGGGCTCAACCTCCGTTAGCTGTATGCTCTTAGGAACATTTCCTTAGACCTTAGTTTTCTCTCCTATAAAGTATGACTGATAGTATAATATCTACCTTAGGTAGACTTATCTTGAGGATTAAATGATAAAAGAACTCTCAGCACAGAGCCTTGTATACAGTAAATGCCAAATAAATGACAGCTTTCATATTAAGTGACCTGTTGGCCTCTTAATGGAAGCTACTTGTCCCAAGATGAGTCCCAAGACAGAAATAACTACAGAGGTATTGAACATTCAGGCTATGTCAAGGAAGAGGTGCAGTTTTTTTCCACTGAGAACTACTGACCCTTGATAGAAAAGGATCAATTAAAGACCTTGTAAAAAAGCTAATTTGCTTTTTTTCCTCAGGGAAATATAAAATATTGAATTCCCTTACTTTTAAGAACAGGAAACATTGTACTTCGTGCAATAAATAACTTGAATAGGTCTCTAGATCTTTAAGGGGCCTTAGAGACCATCTAGTGTAATTTCTTTATTTAGTAGATGACACAGCTGAGGGCCAGAAACATAAACGGACTTTGTGATAGTTACCCTCCTTGACCATGACAGCCCACAGGAATAAGCTCCTTACTTCTGAGTTAAACTCCTAGCGTTTTTCTACTATATTGTGTTTCTAGTTGGTTAGTAAAACAACAAAGAGAAGAAGAGAGAAAGAAGAAACTGGGAAGAGGGAGAAAGAAGGAAAAGAGGTGCTGACACTGCATGCTGTGGTTGAACCCTTTGCACCACCACACCAACCCCTTAGGCAAATGTGATTTTGATGAAGTTCTGTTACTCTGAGTGAACGTTTGAGAAAATGACAGGGTCTCATCACCATTTCGGAGTCTGTTGCAATAACTGGGTGAGAAATGTTAATGGATTAGGATGACAACAAAAGAGATGGTTGCAGATGTTGTCTTTGGGATGTATTTTAGAGAGAAAGAGGATGTATCATTGGGTTGGATTGCACATGGGGAAGCAAGTGAATAGAAAGGC